TTAAATATTCATACCTGTTATGCTGGGATGGGGGTGAGGGAATTAGTTGGCTCTCCTAAGTCTCTGACTTAATGCCTCTCTTCAGTATATTAATTACATGCAGAGTTGTTCCCTCTGCACACACATAAAAGCAAATAGGAATACCGTGTCCTATCCCCACACCCCTACCCCTTTTCTTTTTACATTTTAAATTCTTGCTACAATGCCATTCTCTGTTGTTAGTAGCTTATATAACACCTTGGTCAGGGTTTGTATCATGGACACTGGTACATGAATATATTTTCTTTTTTTTTAAGAATGAAGGGTTCTAATAGATATTGAAAGGTTGTACAACAAGAGATGGCTGCAAAGCCTGGTCACTTGGCTTTAGACATCATCTTAGGAGCTAGACTAGTTTGACATCTGGAAAATGAGTGCACTGTGAAGAAGTATGTGGAAAGGAAGTTTTCAGAGAAGAGAAGCTCAGGTCACAGTGTGGAGAAATTGTAAAACAGAGAAAACAGTGCATAGATCTAAATTGCAAGCATTTGATCTCTGGCTCAGCAAGAACATTGAGTTTAGGAAACTTACATACTTACAGACTGGAACATAGAACTCTGTCCTGCTCTAAGGCTGGTCAGCGGGTGTAGTGGACTTGTTGTTGTTGTTATGTGCCATCAAGTTGCTTGCGACTCATAGCAACCCTATGACAAGAGCTCTAAATGCTGTTCTATCCTGTGCCAACCTAGCCATCTCAAATGCACTTATTCCCACTGCTCCAGTCACAGAATCGATCCGTCTCACCAAAGGTCTTTCTCTCCTTCGCTGCCCCTCCACTCTGCCAAACATAATGTCCCTCTCGAAGGACCAATCCCTCCTTGCAACATGCCCAAAATATGTCAGACAAAGCTTCAGAATCCTTGACTCCAGGGAACACTCTGGCTTCACCCTCTCCAGGACAAACCTGTTTGTTCTCCTAGCAGTCCATGGTATATTCAACACTCTTCTCCAGCACCACAGCTCAAAGGCATCAATTCTCTTTCTATCATCCCTATTCACTGTCCAACTCTCTGATGCATAGCACGTAATTGCGAATACTATAGCCCGGATCAGGCGCACCTTAGTCTCCAGCCTGACATCGTTACTCTTTAGTATTCTTGAGAGGCCACTCACAGCCGACTTTCCTAGTGCAATTCATCTTCTGATTTCCTGGCTGCTGTTACCAAGAGTGTTGACTGTGGATCCAAGTAAATTAAAACTGTTAATTATCTCAATCTCTTCATCATCCATGCTGATGCTGCCAATTGGCCCAGTGGTTAGAATCTTTGTTTTCTTGATTTTTAGCTTCGGTCCATATAGGAGGCTGTAGTCCTTGATCTTCTGCAGCAAGCACCTCAGGTCCTCCTCAGTTTCAGCAAGCAGGGTTGTTGTGCCATCTGCATAACGCAGGTTGTTGATGATTCTTCCACCAATCCTGATGCCACATTTGGCTTTAAATGTTTTAGAGCAGGAGATCCTATTAACTTTCTGCCAAGGATGGGAATAAAAGGAGGGGAAATTATTAAAATGAAATATCTCAAAATCTTTTAAACCCTCAGTGTTTATCAGAGAGCATCATATATAAAGGCTTTTAGGAACTGTCTGCACCTTCGCAAATGTTCCTCTCTAAGCCTTCATTCTGACTTCCTTAATTAGATATTTCTCCAGGATTTAGTTAACAGACTCAATTATAATTAAAATGAATACTAGTAAATACCTACTAAGAACAGAAGTGTTTAAAAAAAAAATCCAAATCTTTTTCTCTTTGACCACATAACTGATGTGCTAGAGATGTTTTGGGATGTTTTCTGGCCACATTTTAGAAGATTTTGCTAATTTGAACAAAAATCTAATTTAAAAATGCTTAGATAAAAATGTACAAATGAAATTTGTTACAGTTAGGCAGTACCCTATATTTTTACCTCATACCTTGATTAATGTTCTTTGGTTTGTTTTTGGTTTTTGAGGTGTTTATTTTGTTGGGTTTTGATTATTTTCTTTTTATTTTTTATAAACTAAGCTAAATTACCAAGCATATCTCATTTTTTAAATGGTTTCCTGTATTTCTGGTATCTGATTATACAATTATTATTTTAATCCATGTTTAATTCTGAGTTGAATTAAGCCCTAAAACGTATATAGGCTCCCCTCCCCCCCAGGATCCTCATACATGTTCTAGAGGGAGCAGAGGGGTGAGGATGGGCCATGGGGTGGGGGCAGGTGAGATTAATCATAGGGTCACAGTTTGCTGGGTAGAGGGAAGAGTGAGTAAAGGAAATGGGAAAGATCTGGTGTAAAAAAATAATGTATATGAACTTTGTAAGTAAACCAGTATAAAAGGAAAAAAATGCATCAAAAAAATAAAAAATGTCGCCATTGTCAAACAAGATCATGTTCACACAAAAACAGTTACTTTGAAGTTGTTGTTGTTGT